GGAAAAAACTAAACTAAAACTTATTTTCTAATTAATATAGGCTCATTTTTTTCTTGCTTTGAAATTTTAATTACCACCTTGCCTCATTTTACCTTTACAGATAGAAAGTTATTCTTTTCTGCAGTCAATGATGTCATTATTGCACAACATCATCATTAACATTGTGTTGAGCAGCATTTGAAATGTTTTCTGTGGGTCTAGCACTCAGCTGTTTAGTCATCTTTAATCCTGGACACTTTAAATATCCCATCCACGCTCTAAACCCCAGAGACTATACTGAAGCACGATCATACTGAGTGATACAACAGTAGATTGTTTTTATAGACATTTTCAAAAACACATTTTGTACTGAGGGCAGCACAGCGTGGTTACAGCTGAGCCTCACAGCAACAAGGTTGCCCATTTAAACTCTTCCTGGTGTGTTTCTGTGTGGAGTTTACATGTTCTCCCCTTATATTTGTGAGTTCTCTCAGGGTACTTTAGTTTTTTTCCTCCAAATCAAAAACATAAATGTTACGTTCGGTGGTAATTAAATTGCAGGGGTCGACATAACCATCGTTTAGGTTGTTCGAGACAACCTATTTCCGTTTCGGACAACCAGATCCCGCCCCCCAGTTGTCCGGTGGACAACCAAGAAAAAATCAGCGGGTGCTCGTCATTGTAAAAATGAACGGGAGAAAAAAAACTTGTTAAAGCCATCTAGGGATTAAACTGACGGTTCTTCCACCGAATAAAAAGAACCACAGTCAAAGTTTTACCCAATCAGAACAGAGCAGGGCGGGTCCTGCTGTCTGACTGACACCGCTGCCTTTTTTCTTTCTCTGTGGGTGTGGGGGCAGCTTCACTCAGTCCAGGAAACGCTAAAGGTTTTCCCGGGAGCTGTTCATCTGAGCTATTTTCCACCGAGATTTACGTCGTATTTTTTTTATATTATATTTCTAAAAGCACCTCGCAGCATTTCTCCTGTAACACCGTGTGTTTACGAGCACAACAAAACCAAGACAGATCACCTGACTGTTTATAAAGCGAGGGCTGAGAGGCAGTTTGACCGCAGCCGCAGCACCTCTTCACGTGCACCGCAGCCCCGAGACTTCAGAGTCCACAAGTCAACCCCTTCAGATATTTACGTGTATGATGAGCATCACAAATCAGTAATTTTCGCAAAACATCAGTATTAATCACACGCGAGGCGTGTCTACGTTTGACTTTGATTTTCTTCTAAAACCAAAGAGTTCTCTGAGTCAGCTTTGGGTGCTTGTAGTTAATCATAATATCTTCTAAATTTAACCAGGTATGCCTTTACATTACACAAAAATTATAGTCGAGAAACTTGTCAGTTTGGTTTAAAAAAACAGTAAAAAATAATGTTTTTTCTATGCAGAGAACTTCTTGTGCTATAATTTTTTTAAAATAAATACATCAAAGCTCCTCAGTTGAAAACACTAAAATGACAGAAGAGATGTTTAAATCCCCTTTATCCAGAAAGTTTTCAGTCCTAAGAACACTAAACTGTAGCTTTAATAAGGTCATGTAGACAGTAGGCTATACTACTATTTAAATTAAAATGTTTGTCCTGTAAGCAGGAAGCTTTTGGTTGTTGGATGTTGATTTTTGCTCTATTTCAAAGAAGAGGATGAGGAGGAGTTTTACTCAAGCAGCTCCTGAAACTGTTAACCTGCTGACTGAGAACATCTGTATATAGTAAACTTTGTATACAGAACAATATAGCCTACTTATTAAATTACATTTTAATTAAGATTTTTTTGGACAACCAAAAAGTTTTGCGGACAACCAGATTTCGTCAACAGGTTGTCCGCTGGACAACCTGAAAAAAATCCTTATGTCTACCCCTGAATTGTCATTCGGTGTAAATAAGTTGATTGTCTTGTGTCCGTGTGATGGACTGGGAATCGGTCCGGGGTGTCCCCCGCCTATCAATGATTGCTGGAGAAAAGCACCGGCTTTGCAACCCTGCACAGAAAAGAAGGTAAAGAAAATGGATGCAATGATATTTTTTTTATTCTGTTAATTATAGTTCTGACAGGAATCAGCATTGGGGAAAAAATGGTATTGGCAGGTCAGAGCTGTACATTGATAATTATCGGCCCACAAAACCAAATCTGTGAATCTCTAATTTCATTAATGGCAATAAAATAAATAACTTAAACCATGAGGTGCCTAAAAACTGTCCCTCCTAAAAGGTTTAGCATAAAACTTACTGGTCATCCTTTCAGACTCTGAATGCAGCCTTTATGACTTCATTTCTTTTTTCTAAACAGAGAGCAGATTCTGATGTGTAATGTCTACAGTGGGATTTGGGAATGTGCATTTTATGCACATCTGAGTTCACACGAAGTCGTGAGATGAACTAATGTATGAGGTTAACCTTTATTCACAGGAGACAGATTACAACACCCTTGGAGGGTGTAATGCCGAGGCTTTACCCTTATCAGCGTGTGATGCAGTTTGACTCACAGAAAGAGGTCTGTCTGATGATAAAATTGAGGTGTTTGTTTGAGTAAAGTGTAAAGACATCTCGCAGCTTTGCACACATGAAAACCGTCATGTCGGATCAGCACAAACAGCACGAGAGAGAGAGACCGTGTGAGCGCCACCGGCGGAGGTGGTGCACACACAATGAGTCAGCAGAGTGCTTTTAGAGGTGCTCTTCTTGTGCTTCACACCACAGAAATGACTCAGTTGAGGGTTTTAAGCTGAAAGTAAGAGACAGGCAATTTACTATGAGAATAAAAAAGGACATTACACATTCATGTAGTTTTGAAGTTTCACTTGTCTGTAGTGCACAGCAAAACCCACACACCAAAAAAAAAAAAGTTTTCATAAACACAGAGCAAAGTAAATAATGAGTCTAAGCTAGGGTTGGGCATTATCGTATCGTGTGCAATTAATCGTCAGAAAAACATTAATCGATTAATTTTTGGCACTTGACAATTAATATGATTAATGCCAACAGGCAGAGTCCACTCGCTGCTCCTCTCCGCTTCATATATAACGAACATTTAAAAAAAGTTCTGTAATTTATTTATCTATCAACACAATTTAAAATTACATGTGTAGCCTGAAGTCTGTAATTTTGACACAATTTGGAACAGATTTTTATGAAGAGCAAATCTTTCTCACTAAATTGGTCATGTGACTATGAAATAAG